AAATCACATAGCAAATCGTGGCGATATATATCTCGCGATACGCAAAAGCGAATCGAAAAATAAGTCAGTGATACGTGAGAGAGATAGCGAGTATTTCTGTTCTTTCCTTTATAAATAAAATTTTGCAAATTTGTAAGCAATATAGCTGTCGGCGAGATGCTTTGTCGAAATCGATACAACGTGCTTCTAACTTCTACATTCGCAAAATATCGATCTATCACTTTGAATCAACTCGCCGAATCATCATATGGATTCTTCTTAGTTTTTATTCTTTCGTACGATACAATAAGAGTTAAAGATTCGTTCCAAAATTTGTATCTTTACACGCGAAACTATACTGTAATTGAATTGGTAAGACAAAGGACAATGCTAAAAAAGGGCAATATTTCATTTTCGAACGAAATGAAAAAATCTTTTGAAATTTATAGGAAATATGTTATATACCAAGGTTAAAAAGTGATTAAAGAATCTTAAAAATTGGGAAAAATTATCAAGAAATCTAAATTAAAAATATTTTTACATTACTAATTTGGAAAACAAACTATATATGACAAATAAAAAAACAGTTTTTTTTTAATAAATTTTTCAAATAAATCAGTTGATTTAATAAGATAATTTCTATATTAAAAAGTTCTGAGTTTTTCAAAAAACCTATATTTTATAATTTGTCGCATAGTTTTAGCTTCCAAATTAGTGCTGTTATTCGATACAAGTATTGCTGTTTTAGGTTTCTCAAGAATTTTCCCCAATTATTGAGGATCTTTAATTTATTTTTTCTATTATTATTAACATACTTTCTGCGAATTTCAAAAAGTTTTAAAATTATTTACATTAACGAACACTTCTTTAATGATTTTAATCTTCATATATATATTATAAAAGTGAAAATACTAATTAACATTTATTTATATCTTATTTAGACTTCGACTTTAGATTTCGAATAGTTTTTGAAATATACATGTAGCTGATAAGAATGCAATATTTTATTGTACATAGGAGAGGGACTCTATATATGTGTGAAATTTTCTATGCAAAGCAATTTTCCTATATCACACTGCGCACTATTAAGAGATTCCAGTGTATTTATAGACTTTGTTTCGTAGTGAAAGCATTGATCGCAAATCGATGTCGATTGGGTTTCATTCCATGAAAAGTTATAAACTCATATAAAACTTCTTGTTCATCTATATATATTTTTAATTTTTACATATGAATATTTCAAAAATTAGACAAAGTTATGTCAATTAAGATATAAGCAAATATTAATCAATATTTTCATATCCATATTATATAGTAAAATCAAAGATCAAAGATGTGTTTGTAAATGTTAATCTTTTACATACAAAGTATTTTAGTCTTCTTTGCTCACATTCAGACTTGCACAATATAAAATCTTAATTTAATATGGCCGGTAATTTGTTTTACATTCTCTTTCTCCCTCTTTTTTTAATTCGTTCCTTTTCATCCTCTTGCACTTCCCCTTTTCCAATTTCATTATTATAATATACGCAATATATATATATATATATACATATATATACACACATACATATATATATATATGTATATATATATATATATATATATATATATATACACGAGTTATATTTAACCGCAATTAGTAAATAGATAATTGCAAGCTTATGCTAAGTTTAATTTATATTATTTGTTTATGTATGCTGTAATATTAAATCCACATTCATCTATGCAACGAGAACCTCCATTTTTTTTCTTATATCATACACTCTCTATTACTTTCATTCTCATATATTAATAGACGATTCGCTTATATTATCAAACTCGAATCATCAACAAAAAAACATCAAATAAGGAAAATTTATTTACATCGTTAAGTGATTTCAAAGGATATCACTTTTATGATTTTACTATTTATGATACGCAAAAGATAGTGATTTTTTTATCGCGGATTAATCGCGGCTATATTCGAATAATGACATTGCTGTTTCTTAATTCTTGTTGATATAATTATTATACACAACTAATAACGCAATAAACTCATTGATAAGTTATTCGAACTTTGTGCATTTAACGCTTAACTACTAAAACTCGCTCTCTTTTTAATAATATCTAATGATTTATTTCTACGACGATTAAAGGCAATAATTGGAAATTGATTTTTGGAAAGCGGTAAAGAAAAATGAAAATATTGATATTTTATTCGTGTAAAATTGATGTACGCATTGACGTATAAATAAAGGCAGATCTATAAACTTGTACAACCGTATAATGCATATATACAAAGAAACTCAATCACACATGCGTTCAATATAAAAAATACAATTTAGTATTTTTTATATTAAATTGATTGATTTTTTTTATATGGATATTTATTATATGGTTATGGAAATGTGTTTGAATAAATCTTAAATAGATGTTCTTTTCGTTAACCCTTTCAATTTTTAAATCGTAATTATACAATTTATTAAATATTTATGCATCACAAATAAAAGCGCAAAATACAAAAATTGTAAATAGAGTTAAGGGTTAACGATTTCATAAAATTTTATACTAGGTTTCTTTTCATTATAACAATATTTTCGATATATCCTGCTATTATTTTACAATTCTACGTATATCTTTGTTTGAGGATGCGGAATATTAATGTATATCTATCTTTAGCTGAGCGCTTTAGCTGAAAAACATCGCAGTTTATGTTCCACAAAATTTTACTACTTGCAACGAAAAATGGAGATCGCTAATTCTCTCTTTTTATATCATTTATCGATTGTAAAGATAGTTTACAGACATTTATTCGAATATTTATATAGGAACGAGTTGTCACACATGCGCGTTATAATAAGTAGGTAATATCTAAAGCGAGAATTTATATCGGAGAATTCAGCATTCACTAAAAAAAAATCATAATTTTGATTCGCGTGTAAATATGTTTATATTATACATATTCGATCTCTCGCTTATATAATTTAATCGTAATTAATAAGAATTTCAAAAATTGCGATGCTATTAAGAATTATTGTTAAGAATAATCCTTTTTTTCAAACATGCATCACATTCTCGAAAATCGATGAATTTGAAGATAATGGTTTTTGAGAGTATTCGAGCGCTCAACGCTCGTTATTCCATCCATTTTATTTTACATATCTAGCTTTTCTTCTTCTCTTCGTAAACATCTATCACGATGTAGCCTTATATAATAAACCTTCGCTTAAAAACAGTGCTTAACATGCATTTATGATATCTTATATCATTTCTCACTAAGAAGTCGATAGGGATAATCTCGAGATATGTTTGTGTGAAGAATAAAAATGTGATATATGGATCTCCTTCCAATTATTTTAAATTATACCGTCAAGATCATAATCTTGAGTAACAAACCAAAGGATTTAAACTCGTTCGTTGTTTATTAAAAAGTTGACTAAAATAACGAGTAATTTTTAGATATTACTCAGAATCATCATCTTGACAACATGTCAATCATTGAGAGAAGATTCGTACATCTGCATCTTTATCAAATAATCTTTATAACTACTTATTTGAATTAGGAAAGTGCAGAATTTTTACTGCTTTTTTTATTATACATATATGTATATGTACACATGCACGCAATATGTATATACGCACTGCATGCATGCGTGCGTATGAATGTATATTTGTTTGTTTATTTATTTGATGTGTGTTTTTATAAATGTATGTAGTTTTTATAAATTTATGATACAAACGCATGTGTAATACTCGTCAAAATAAACAAAAAGTTATAAGTAAATATATGATTCTGTAAATCACATGTAAATCACACATATACAAGGATTTTCGAGATTTACTTTTTTGTTATATTTAATTATCAGTCTGTGTACAATGAACAGGTATCTTCATACAAAACTATTGGAAATATCTTTTGAATATATATGAAAAAATTTATCTTTACAACAAATCTGATTTATGGTCCAGTATATTTCCAATTAATGAATATAAAGTACTCTGGAAATTTTATTTTTTAAAATCGATTTATTTTTGAATACATATTTACTGAGATATTTTTATCTTGATAAATATTACATACGTTCGTGCAAAGATTATATATCATAAATTTTTAAACTTTATATGTACGCATATATACATACATATATGCATACATACATACGTGCATCATACATACATATGTACATACATATAACATGCATACATATCTACATACGTGCGTGCGTGTGTGTAGTTTATTTCTTTTTTTATACGAGTTATATTAATCAATGCGGTTTTTAATTGCTTTATGATGGATTTCAAGTATCTTCATCGAGTTAATTACTCTTTCTTTTTGTGAGAAACGAGAAATTGTACATATACAGAACTTTCTAGCGTTCTATCTATCAATGATAGATTCTTGAGATCATTTGGAAATGATTTTTTCTCAGCGACAATATCAAGGCATAATTTCAATAATTTGAGTTTAAGCAAAAAAAAGGATTTTTCGCAAACTAACTTTGTGGATTTAAAAGATCAACAAAAGTATATTTTTTAATCAATTTTAAATGAAAAATTTATTTTAATAAAATTTTAATTCAAGGTTTATTTACAAGACTGTATAATGGCAAAAATTTACAAAGATTGATGACCTCCCTCGACATTTTTGCTGAGGAAACAGTGATCTCAAAAATCTGTCATTAATAGATGGTATGCTATATATGATATATAATCTGTATATGTGTGTATACCCATTTTTTTTGCGCATACTATTATGAGATTGTTCATTTATTATTAGTATTTTCTAGGTTTATGAGAATTTGCTCTTTCTCTCTCTTTTTTTCATCGTGCGTGAAAAAAATCTCTCGGCGCGTTTTTTGCGCTCGATCGTACCGGGCTCATATTTTTCAATGGATGTAGGAATATGTTCGATATGAATTTAGACAGATTGCTTTGAGGACAGATTGATATAATGAAATTATAAATTAAATAAAGAAAATATATTATAATTTTTATAATAATAAATTATAAATAAATAAAAATTATAATTTGCAGGATAACATAATTTATAATTTATCGAAATAACAATAACGTATTTCGAGCAACGGCGTTTGTAATTTTTCTATCTAACGAATAAAACATGCCTAATGCAAAAACATCATTTATAAACTTAACAGACGAAAATCAGCGATTATTGCACAGAAAAATGCTATTTTGCAATAATATCTAATGTAAAAAAAAACAATACTAATGTGTCATTGCACTTAAATCTCGCTACTTATAACAAACACATTTCTTTAATATACTTTACACTTCATTTTCGGAATCCTTTTCTTCGTGTGATTCTTCATGTGTGTCGCACCGTAAAGGTTTGTTTATTATTAAATACACATCACTGATTCCGCAAGATTTAAGATGATTTTATCTGGAGGCGATTTGGAAATAATATCTCTCGCGGAGAATTATTTATTTTACGAACAAAATGGCATGAGATATCTACATTTAATGTATTCTAACGTCTTTATGTGATTTAGATTTGAGTTGTTCAAACAAAATTTCATGTACATACGTATTTCTCGAAACATAATCAAGCATATCTTAATTCCGAAAGTGGAAAGTAAGTATAGAATTCACACTAAAGATTTCGATGTTTCGAATTTCGTTTACATATAACGAATGACTGCACTATTCCCATTGTCGCCTCTTGATCTTCTTGCTATTACTGCTGATGGAAATATTTATATATAATGTTAGACCTCGATCTTCTATGTTGTTGAATAACGTATAGCGGTTCATATGCTTTTCTATTAAGATGTTCTAAGCGTTCGTCAAAGAAAACCTCACCAGAATCTCTGAGCACTATCCCACAAGTTCTTCAGACTCGATCGAAATTCGAAGCGAATGTTCTGATAGTATCACGCTATGTTATTACCACTCATCGTGGTGACACATTTCTTCTCGGGCGTGTTCTGGCTTTCCGAATTACTTCGCACTGCTTTCGGCGAGTTGTCTGGCGTCGATGTCGTGTCGCCCGGTAGAGCATTATTATTATTTGTTGATGTCGAGCTTCTTCTACCGTTTTCACGAGTCGGCGATTTTACATCAAATACAGAAGTATCTGACTCGATGTCCGAATCGATCTAAAATTGACAGGCATAATATGTTAGTTAATAATATAGAAGATATTCTTTTAAAAAATAAATTCTCTATTTTATGCGGAAATACTGTAGCCCAAAAAAATCTATATATAATCTATATATAATTATGTATATATTTATAAATCTATATATAATTAAATATAGATATATATAATTATATATAAAATAATATAAAAAAATAATTTTTGTATTATATTTTTTAGAGAAAATAAAATTTAAAGAAATGAGAAAAAATTACATATAATTATATGTATTATAAAGAGAAAATTGACTACATATAATTATATATAATTATATAAAGATAACTTTTTTCATTTTTTTCAATGTTCACTTTTAAAAACTAATGTGAAAATTATTTTTCTAATTATATTTCAATTATTCTTATCATTTTTTCTATATATACGAACAGAGATTATACAAGAGAAAGAAAACGTATTTTACACATATATGTGTATATATTTGATTATATATATTTTACTTCTGACGAAATTTGGCGCAATAAAATAATTTTAACGATCTAAAATGGTTTAATAATTAAGAAAACAATATTACTTTTGCTAACGATGATGAAGATAATGGAGATGATGCGCTACCTTGTTAAAACAGACTACCTGTCTGGTAGCTGGATGAGGAGTAAGAAACAGCCGTTCGCTCGTATCGCTGCCGCAGCTGGAGCTCTCACTCATTTCCGTGGTAAATTTTCTGGAGGCTCTCGGACTAGGGGGTGCGGCTCTGCTTTGGCCTCCTAAACTTATGCCTACATTTCTCGAACATACTTGGGACTGGATATGTTCGCACACTCGCCTAAATCTTCGAATGTTGCCTGCGAATGTTGATCAATTGCATTATAACTCTTAATTTGTTTTTTATTCTTACGGAGAAACTTAGAAAACTACATACATTCCTTTTTTTTCTTCATAGTTATATATTTTCTTCTATAAATATAAAATATTTTCAAATAAAATTAATATAAAACAAATTGATTAAAACACACATACACATATATATGTATGTGTGCGTGTGTATTTTAATTAATTTATTTTATTATGTATATGTACACACATACACACAAAGTGTTTCAAAGTTAAACGATCGCATTTTGTAGAGAGAATTAATGCAAGTCAATATTTATTGCCAATATTGACCAAATGCGGTTGCATTTGAATCAAATAATCGTTTTATATATAGCAATTAATACTTTAGAAAAATAGGGAAAATTTTTGATGGATAATTATTGGATTATTATGTATAAAGCCTAAATATTGGCTATCTTGAAGTATATAGAATTCTTTTTGCCCAGAAATTTGTAAAGAAGAGAAGATAATTGGACTGTATATAATAAGAAATATAAATAATTATTATAAATAAGATTCTAAATAAGAGAAATTTTAAGCTGAATTTATGAGCTAAGTAAATACAGTTGGCTACAAGCTAATTGTGAGAAAAAAAACTATAAGGATCTATCCGTCGACTTATCTCTATAGTGCAGATCTCTCAAGTGCAGATAAGATATAAGGTTGTAGATATATTAGCTGAGTCAAGGTAGCATCGATTTGGTTGCGCTTGGATGACTGCCAACCGTCGAACAATATTTCTATCTACTAGTGTTTATCGTGTATTTTCGGTAAGGCTTTATATGTCTCTCTTTTGATTTTTAGTTAATTTAGAATTTTAGTTTCTTTTATATTATGTTCAATTTCAAAAATGACATTTTACAAAAAAAAGAAATCTGCAATAATGCTATTGTGTACTTACCGCTCAATAATGTGAACGTGATAGCGAAGAGGGGCTCGTTTGGTTGCTTCGAAATCGCGCTAATGTCAACTTGAAATCGCACTTGTCTTTGGAACATGACAGGTGCAGTGCTACCTCTCTTGTATTCCACTCTGAACGACATCGGTGAGCTTACACTGTGAGATAATTCTGCTATCTGCAAATACAAGAGTTCGTTCCAAATTAAAAATATAATTGAAAATACTAAAGAAATAAATATATTCGGAATGAATTATCATGTGCGATTAAATGAAATCGATAAATTTATATCGCAAATCTCACATACATGGCTAACGTCTATTTAAAAGATGCTGGACAATCATAGAAATGGATCTATTGGTGGATAAAAATATTGTATATACACAGTAATAAATATGTAATATATTTCTTTAAATATAAACTCAAATAATTTTATCTATCTCTAATAATTACTATTTAAAATTATATAGTTGCTATATAAAAAATAAATATATATGGATTTTTTGGAAGATTATACAGTATAGAAAATTTTATTCTCATTTCATAAACAAGATTTTTGTTTAACAAAGATTTTCATTAAATTTTAAAGACTTTGAATCATAAAATTTCTCTTTAAATTAAATATTGTAATTTTAAATGAAAATTCACATTTCTTTAAATGTACGTTAATTAATCCGTTCTGTTTGCAGATGTTTCCATAAACATTGTTAAAATTATTCGTTTCTCTTTCAAAAAAATAATTACTTTCTTATTTTTTGTACTTTTAAAAATTATTCCCAAATGCACGAGTAATTCTTATCAAATAATATACTTGCATTTTATTAATTCAAAATTACTTCAAAATTATTATTATTAATTATTTGTTATTTGACACGTGGAAAGAAAGATCAGATTAGAATAAATAAATATATATCGATAAATAATATATAATTTGAAATTTTGCTGAAATTTCATATTAAAGTTAAATTAATCGCCGATTATATTAATCATATTTTAACCAAGAGTAATAATACTTACCGACAAGAAAGCATGAATCAGATCAGCCTTGACACTGGCCAGCGGTTTCCCCTTAACCAGGACGGTAAAGGTCTCATCTTTTTCTGTAGTCATCAAACTACCGAACCATGATTTCTTTGTTAGTTCCGGAGAGGAATCTGGCGTGAGGTGTACCTATATGCAGTAGGAAGCTTACTTTGTGATTCCTCCTGAGATATATGAATAAAATTAATTTTATATTTTATATATACTCAGAATTTTTATTTTTAGTGCTCATTAAATTTTAATTCCAAGAAATAATCTATTCTGATAACTAGAATAGAATTGTTATAAATTATTTATTATATCGCACTAAAATTCTTAACTTCTGTTCTTCGACGAAATTTCGCTATGAAAATATTTATTAATTTTCAAATTGTATTAAGAGAACTTAAGCCCATCTAAAATTCAATTGTAAAAAATCGTATATTTTGTGAATGAAAGATACAAATGTTATAATACAAATTATAAAAAAAGAAATTAATTGGATTTTTACTATCTATTATCGCATACCTCCTCGGTACTAGTGAGCAATTTACGACGATGAAACCTGGGACTGCCTAGAAAAGAATTCTTGATTGTGGTCAGTCTCGATCTCCAGTGATGAGCTCCGGATCCTGCTCCTGTGTGAGGTGATCCTGGCGGTGTAATACCGACCGCAACTATTGCGAAACAAGTTTTTACATTTTGAAAAAATACGCTTATCTTAAGCATATTAAAATAATACACGATACTTAGACAATCCATTTTTTTTATAATTAATTATATTATTTTTTTCGAATTTCTTTATTACAATCGTTATTGTATTATTAATTGAAAAAAAGAATAGAAATGCGTGAAACAAAATGATGCAAGTTTGTTTAATTACAGTGCAATTTTGTATATAAATCAAAATAACAATGTTTAATAAGACATAGTATTGGACATGCCAATCTGCATTGATTGTATCGAAGTTCCTGTTTAAACATTAGATTGACAATCGAGAGATTCCTGTTTAAATATTAAATGGACAATCTTAAAATTATGATAAATTACGATAAACATAGGAGCATAGAATAGCATTATATAATCTGTCATGCTTAGTAATAATCTTGATAAATATTAACATAAACATTACGAACCACATTTTTATAATTCACAAAGAGTGTATTATATTTATGGTCTCTATAATATATGTCAAAAGAAAAATGGTCCATGAAGTATAAGTTAATGTTAATTTGTCATCTTTAAGAACAGCAATTAATTTAGGTGATTTATTATTTTATTATTTATATTGCACAACAGCCAAAATTATTGTATAGTGATCAAAGTAGCCACAACTTGAAAATATGTGACAAAATAAAAGATTGATAAATATATTGATAGAAATACTGGTACTAAAGCATTAAAATATAATAATTTTTATATAAAATAAGCTAAAAATATTATAATGAAAAGTATTTGTGAATTAAATTATTTTTAAAAGAAAAAGCACAATATAAAGTCAACAAACTTCTATTCTTAATTTGTTAAAATTACGAAAAACTTTCCTATTCCTTATTTTTTCGATATACATAAAATAAAAATGCTATTTCATATGGTATTGGCACTTTTATCCATGAAAAATCAAGTGGCAAGTGTAAAATAATTGACAGCATTAAAAAAATATTAAAACCATGCAAATTAAGAATATAGGAAAGTATTAACAGTACAGACAATGTTGTTATTATTATTAGCAATAATAATATATGCTAGAACGAGAGAGATAAAAATATTTTTATAAGATGAGGATAAACATAATTTGCAATAATTTGTAAATTATTGAACTCACCAGGTTGCATCTCATTGAGTTCAATGCCGACACTAGTGAGCGCCGACGCTGAAGCTGGCGTTGGTGCACTCTGACTCGTGGGACTGCCATTTCCGGCGGTAGTAGTGGTACTGCTGCCGATGGATAATCTGTGTGGGCTACTGGTAATCGTTTGACCCACGTGTGATATCGGCACCGCTCTATGAGGACTCAATAGGCCCGCAGGCGCGTGCAACGGTGAACTACCCGGCGTTGACGTGTGCGAATGAGAGCTATGAGTGTGGCATCCGCTTGTACTTGGTGATCGACGCGCGTGATGTCTCGTGCTGCAACAATCAGCAATGCAATTAACTTTCAATTTAAATTATTTGAATTAATTCATAAAAGATTAGATACTTTAATTGATGTTCCCATTGATATTAATCGAATGAAATGAAAGGATCGTAATTGGTTGTTGCGTTTTATATAAAAGAGCTCAAACATGGCGTGAGACCTAAACATTTTAGCTGTGTTCAGATCCGACAACGTAAGGAAAAAGCGATATGGAACAAATACATATGAATACGAACACGCGACATAATTGACGCTGTCATGCGATGGTGCCAATTTGAAATAAACCGCAGTTACCTGACGTTACAAAACTCTTTCATTAAACATGTATAAGTTTTATCCGCAAAATGCAAGAATTGATCACAGAATTTAATTTCCACCGTAAAATTTCAAGATGAAGATAATTTTTGCCATAACATTATTATTCTTCCCATCTAAATTCATGCGAGTTTACCTAGACTGTCTTCTAGGCGTCAGAGGCGATCCGTGACTGATTTGTCCAAGATTGAGTGCGGTACTTCCGTTCACTCTACATGTATCTACTCGTTTTCTTGGTGGATCAGCTTCTAATTGTCCTGCGGATCCCCTCATGCCTCCCCTCATTACTTCGAGCTCGTCCTCGCACGCCGGTCTTCTTCGCTTTCTCTCCAGCAATAGGAAATATATCACCTTTTCTGTATTATGGCTAAAGGAGAAATTTTTTATTTACTTTGTAAGATCATTTTCAATAGAACTTAGACATTTCTAATAGAACTTGGATAGATTGAAGTGGAATATAATGTCTTTCTATCGGAGTGGAATTATCTTACTTTGGACTGAGCAGTTCTTGAATAAGTTTGTCACGTTCTTTGAAGCAACCAAGACTTGCGATCGCTTGTAACACGTCGGGATCGATCGCATCCACGGACGGAATAACGTGCGTCTGCACTACATCCATCATCGACAGCTCCAACTCGAGTTCACCCTTACCCGCCGCTGTTACCCAGATATGTCTGTTTATTTCCGCTAACTAAAAGAAAAATAATATACTTTGCTTTTTACTTACTACATACTATATACTTTGCTTTTTACTTTTTGCAAAATGTTTCATGATTAATAAATACATGTAATAGCTTTAATTTATATTTAAAAGTCGTTTCACAAGCTAGAAAAAGATATAAAGCGTCTTACCGTCAGCCTTTTCTCAGGATCAACTTCTATCATACCCCTGAGCAAATTCTGGCACTCAGGTGGCACAAAGTGCGGTATATAAAACAGTCCGCGCTTTACTTTCTCTAGTAGTTTTCTCAGATTGTCATCGTCGAATGGTAAAGCGCCCACTAGAAGCGCGTAAAGTATTACCCCGCAGGACCATACGTCCGCTTTTCTGCCATCGTACTTCTCACCCTGCGAAAAGAAGGAGCGACAAATGGTTTTACTTACATCAAACTCAAATAGGTTTAACTATTGCTCGTTTAATTTATCATTTTTGTAACTTGATATTAATTAATTATTATCGAGAAAATTAATTATAGTAGAAGCTCTTACTCTAATGACTTCGGGACAGGCGTAATGAGGTGATCCGCAACTGGTCTCCAGCATGGAGCCTGCGGGTTGTAAGGATGCCATTCCAAAATCTGCTATCTTAATATTATTTTTTTCATCCAGTAATAAGTTTTCAGGTTTCAAATCTCTATGACTGTAAAAATAACGATAAAATAAAACGCACATCATAGATATTGTCGAGAAAGAAAAGACGATTATAATAAAAATAAAAAAAGAGACAATTACATAAGTAACATTTATAATATAACAATATGTATACGCGACTCACCATATACTATGGCTGTGACAAAAGTCTAATGCGGAAATTATTTGTCGAAAAAACCTCCTTGCTTCCTTTGGAGTCAGTCTACCCTTCTTAACCAAATAATCGAACAGCTCTCCGCCCGAGACATGTTCCAGAACAAGATATCTTAGAAGAATATTGAAAATATATAATATTTTTGCATCGTTTGTAAAAGTTTTCTTCATTCGTAAAAATAATTTTATCAAAACTTACAGATATTTTTTGTTTTCGTACACATCCGAGAGACCGAGCACGTGTGGATGGTCGATCAGTTTCATGATTGCGATTTCGCGCTCCACTTTCATCAACACAGACTCCGAAAGCTTTTCACGATTGATAATCTTGATTGCCACCTTTTTACCCAACACACAGTGTACGCCGAGCTTTACTAATCCTAAAATAAAAAAAAGACAAATTTTTTATTTTATATTAGTACAGGAAAAACGGAAGATTAAGAAACAAAAAAAGATTTTCGTATATTTTATTAGTTTTGAAAATTATTTGATCGTTGTGCTTCACAAAACAGTTCTAATTATCTTATTTTCGACTCATTATTACTTTTGAATAATATAATTTTCTGTAATTTTGCGATAATAATGAGTTAGAAATATATTATTAAGGGAAATATAATATTAAAGTCTTGATTATATATATTCGAGTTTAGCTTCAAATTCCTTCTTTATTGTTAATAATTCACGAAAACTTGAAATAGGTCGCGTTAAAATTTTAACTAGAGAAGGATTTTAACTAGAGAAAATTGCTATTTGCAAATAATTATAATTTTATCCGTTTTTGCTGTATGCTATTTTGAAATATATTAATAACTCAAGTTTATCAAATATAATATTGTAAATATTATAAATATCATATTATAAATATAATATTATAGATATAATACTGATTTATTGTCATTTAAATACTGATTTATTATTATTTACCCTCGCTGTATTCCTAATTACATGCTATTATATTATAATGACACGGTCGTATTCGCGGAATATAAATGCCCAATATAATATCACTTTTAATCAAGCGCGAATTAATTTGCCCATGACATACAATATTGGTTATAGTTAGAAAAAAATTGTTTGTTTATTATATTTTTATGGGTTTTACAATAAAAGATATTATTTTGTACCTACATTATCACACAAATGTACATATATTACACATAATCTACAATCTTTTATAATGAATTTTTTATAAAAAATATAGTTCAAAAGTAGAATCGATGTAAAGATCAAAAGTTATGAAGTAGAATTGGCTTAAATCGTAGTCGGAAATCTATAAAAAGTCGCGCCATATAATATCTTTATCCACTTAAACGATCGACGATGACGGTTGTACATTGTTTAAGCAGATATACAAAGAGAAAACAGGATAGAAGAAAAGCAGAAGGAAACTGTTCATTGTAAAGCGATAATGGAGAGCAATTAAGCATTACTTCGTAATGAAGTTGCATCTAATTGAAGGCATAAAGAGTTTAATCCTAGATAAAAAATTGCACAGCTTTACATAGCGATTATGCGAAAACTGTTAGCAATCTTGCAGCCGCTCGATTATCACGAAGTGATCAACGTTTTTTGATTACTCGAGCGAAACATAATTTTTCATGTGCACGTCGGCTTCCCTATATCTATCGCATGCACTTATTTACATATTGTCTAAAAATATATTACATTTCTGTGACGTTATATCGCAAAGTTATAAATAGTCCGAAACACTTTTTATGATCGATGATCATCTTTTAGCCAACCTCAATAGAATTACATGAAATAAAGTCCGATGATTGACATGACAATCCCTGTGGATGTGTTAAACGGACTCAGTGTTTCCCGTCAAATCTGATGGTTATTGCATTAGCAACACCATTGAAAGTTAAAATACATTTTCCCCAACGATTCATCCACGTTTTAACGTCGTCGATGCATTCGTAGAAAGAAATTTCTAGAGAGTTTTGTATAAGCATCATACTCGCAGTTTAGAATACATGCTTGTCAAATTATATGCTATATTAATATATATTAATGAATTTTTTTAAATCAGAAAATTAATCAATTTCTTAGAAAAATTTCATAGGATTAGAAAAATTTTTCCATTATTTGAATTTAATATCTTTTGAATGCATAGAAAATAAATTCTGCGAGATACGATTGAACATTTTGCAATATAATTTCCATTTCTTCATATCATATTGATATTAATATTGCTTCAGAAGAATTAGTCTTACGTAAAAAATATTTCAGAATTAAAAAAGTAAATTCTGGGAGATGCGAGATTGAACATTTTGCAATATAAATTCTGTTTCTTCATATCATATCGATATTGCTTTAGTTTCGGGAGAATTAATCGTAAAAGATATTTCACAATTAAAATCAGTAACAAAATCACAATGATTTATCCTTGCTTTTAATTTTATTGATTTCTCGTAACCACAATACGCCAAACTTGCATTTATTAAACTTACTATTGGGATTTCGTATATTTTTAGCATTTTCGTTCCCGCGAAAACACATAACAAGAAATTTTAAAAAATATTATATATTCTCCCTCCAAATTTTCATCGAGACTTAATTTCGTTGGTTATAATTCAAATCGTATCGCAAGCACGAACGGCAATTTCATTACCCGTTTGCGCGTGGGTCACAGAATTCAAAGCGTGAAGAGGAATTCATTCGTATGATTAACGCACCGTATTGTCACGTGCCAGAGCAGGCACCCCTTTCAAGGTGCATACAGGATCGATATAGTCTGTCGGAGGAAATGACCACTACGAAACTCATTCGTTGAAAACTGACCCGTGAATTCATTAGTTCACAAGTTTTTGCGAAATTACATCTTGATCACGAAAAACCAATTTGTATTTTTCTGCATAAACCATGAAAGTTCCATCGACAAAAAATTAAATACAGATCTGAGAAAATATATCAAAAATAAAAAAGCTCTGATTGAAATAAAATTATATCTCATTTTTTCATGCCGCCAATTTACTTTAGCATTCATATACACGCGCATAAATCGGCGTTTCTTTCTTTGGTGCGTTATTCATTGTCGTCGATATTATTACCTTCTTTCCCTCGACGGCAGCACTTAATTAAAAACGTTTAATTGCTCCATAAAGATTTGCAATTATTGTAAAGGATTTCTTTTATACAACAGATGTTCAAACACGAGAGCTTTTAGCTTTGAATTGTAGTCACATTTGTTACTAAAATTTGTTACTAGAATACTAATGATTTAATATGTAATAATAATTGAATAGAAATGATTTATTATGTAATACGTTTCTTTATACATTGCAAAAAGATATTTAATGAAAAATATTTAAAAATTAAAATATTCCTATGTCAATTTTTTTAATTGTTCTCAAGCAGATAAATTATGCTTTTATAAGATAATTAATAGTAATTTTAATAGTACTTTAAATCATAAAATTTCATTTGTATCATTTTCTATTGTAACTTTTTCTATGTAGTGGAGAAATCTAGATTTATGCATGGATAAAATGTTTTAAAAATACATCAATACAATATATTTTAATTTTCTTATATGCATTATATTGTTCTTAAAATAGTTCGATAAAAATTTTTCCTTTCTAGATTGCTTTGCTTCTTTCATCAATTCATGTAAGTTTTTAAAAATTGTACAATCTCCTGTCAATTTACTATTTTATGCGAATATAAATGATTACATATACTTTTTGTGTACATTTCAAATATATATTATAATATATTTACATTTCATTTATACCGCTACATGTTCTTATATAATTAGGTTTAAACATTTCTCTATCTGCCTAACCGCTGTATAACATAATTAGTATGTCATCAGTATTGATCGTATAATAGCATCGAATGCCTTCGAGGTGAGAGTAAATTAGTGCGGCGTTAACTTGTCCACAAATATTCTTGATATACGAGGTTTCTGCAAAACGTCATCTCATTGTTATCTCCTTTTTTATGATATTATGAAGAATTTTTTATTCAGCATTTAATTATTTATTCCTCTGAATTGTTCTATTTATTTTTATTAATTTTTATTAAAACATATTTTTAAAACATTTATTTTACAATTCCCTTTAAATATATATAAATTATATAGAATGCACACTTATTTGGATAAATTTGTATGTGTGTGATACACATTAAAATATAACATGCCGCAGTAATGACAAAAGATAATGTCCAAGGTTATGTTTAGGCATAATGACAATACATCAATGGACTGAAAAAAGTTTATGAAATATTCGTATCAAATTAGTCTACAAAAATTTATTTGGAAATACTGTCAAGGTTGATATTTTCATCATATACTAATGAATGCTTACAATTCGATTTTATATTAAAAATTAAATCGAAATTGGTACATAAGAGCCACAGTGCAGTAGTTGAAGCGCTGAGAAACAACACTTTCTTTTTTTATTATTAGTTTATTACAAAACTCAAATTACAATAATAAAAGGCGAATGTTTCGAATCATATTTCATCCTTCTTCAGCGCAATGTTAACAGATTAAATTAATGTAATCAAAAAGTTGAAGGTTTGCCCCGGTCTTATTTTAGGGTCTATCCGCCACTATTTGGTACAGTGGGGATTTTAGTACCTACATACTAGAGGGATCTTGGGGGATGTGGTCACTCTATGGTATTGTGCTCGTCGGTGTCGTTTCATACGGAAGGCCAGTCGGAAGCCAGCATGCACGCGAATACCTCCACCGGCACTTATTTGGTCAGAGAGCGACCTTTCAGGGATCCTCCGTGACAATCGGCATTGCATCCATCGAGTGAGATACCAACATCGCTCTGGAGTCGCATATCACTGTCTTAAAAAGCAGCATTAGATGTGAGATCTGGATAGCTCAGTGATCTAGAGCAGTTGCCCGGAAAGCGAAAGACTCGGGTTTAATTCCCAATCCAGTCACTTGCGCCTCACATATTTTTCTAGTCTGCAAATATTGTTTTCTAGCAATTATTCGTTAGGCTGAAAAAAGTGTGAATGTTCTCTCCACAGGATATGCATCAATGCCGTTGCCACGGATGGATTCTGTCACTCGTTGATTAAATGGGCGTAAAAACACGTCCGACCTCCTCCCACATACATCCCTATCTTTCTCTGGATCAAATATGAAACGTCCGAAACGTTCGCCTTTTATTACTATAATTTAAGCTTGTAAGGAACAATATAATAATAAGGAACAATAGTTTGTAATAATAAAAAAAGAAGTTTTGTTTCTTCTTTGCATTTCAACTATCGCGCTCTTATGTGCCAATTTTGATTTAATTTTAATTATTTGAGACAAATCTCTTTTATTATTTTACAGTTTAATAAAAAAAAAAACAAAACTTATATTTCTTATTCCATTATATATTATAATTTTAAACTTTCAATTGATGTTTTAATATATTTTCTTGTATATTATAGAAAATTTTACTGTAATTAAAATTAAGTGTATTATTAGGATTTTCTATCATTAAAAGAAATTTATTAATAAGATCTATCATACAGTTTTCTATCATACAGTTTATTTAAATTCAAGAATTTTTTAAGTTGCTAAATCTAATAAAAATAATAAATTTAAAGGCAGAATTAATATGGATACATTATCAAAATTTAAAAATATCTGAAATTTTTCCAAAATTTATATATACATTCAAAAATTTATGTATAATTTAAATTTATCAATTTTGATATTGGATTTGTATTCAACAATTTGAAAAATTAAATTAATAACATAATTAGAAACTCTTTAAGATCTTTAATGAATTTCTAATTCACAATACATCACATATTTAACCAAAAATTATTATTAAGTTGATACAGCAAATTCTTTCAAGGGCTGAAAATCTTAACAATATACTTAATTTTTTAGAAAACATTACATACCGTATATAACTATAGTATAATAAAATACACTAAAATAGCTATTTCTTTCAATTTTAATTGCATTTTTCTCAAAATTATAACGTAACGAAAAAATTTGGGAATCAAAATCATGTATTCAGCGTTAAAAAATTACAGGAAATGATTAGTTTTAATTTTATGTTCCAAGACAAATTATTTTGTTAAATTGTATTATCAGTCTCACGTATGAGAAAAAATTTTTTTCGTGTGCCTTATTGTGATATCATAAATTTATATTAAATCCTCTGTAGATTTGAGAAATTTGGGAGATATTTTCGTTTCAGAAGTATAAATAATAAAATAATTTGCAAAAACTGCATGTAGAATGTACAAATAGCGTTCTTGAAGTCGCACAAAATATTTATAGCAAATTTATGTCGACCATGTAAACTTCAATCAATTTTAAGAGAATCGAGATACTGTTGTCTCGAACACACACAGTCGTTCGTTTCATATACAATTGTAAAGTTTCGTAATTTCCATCAATGAGAAATGTGTGCGAAGCCTCATATATCTTATTGAACGCGCAGAATTTGCGCTTAAACTGATTTAAATAGACATGATTGATTTAAACAAACATGCTTGCAGCTATTCATTTTCATAATTTGTTATCGTCAATCACGATAACATTTATGATAAAGATTTTATGTCAAAAGAAAAAGAAAGAGAGAAAGAGAGCGAGAAAGGGAGGCAGAGGGAAAGAAAGAGAGAGAACGAGAGATGATGCACCACCCACCGGTCTGGCCTTTTCCCAAGGTCTTTTCCAACCGATAAGGGCCGACGTACTGATGAGTCTCCTGGGTGTTGGACCCGATGGGGCTCTCTTTGCCCTGCATCGCTGCTGAGCCTCCGCCTTCCTCTTGGTCCGCCAGGTTGAATGGTTGTTTTGTACAAGCCACTGAAGTCGAACCACACGAGTCTTCTTCCTCTTGGGCTCTCCACGTTCGTCGTTATCACTTTTTCCCGAGATTGCGTATCAGTTTACTGTGTTTCACCGCGATTTTACGCAGCATTGTACACTTTGTTAGAATAATTTTAAGGCTGGACTTGCGATGGAATACAAGAAATGTTTTAAAGGCAACTCAATAAATTAATCGTCTTCGACTTAGATCTTTTTTTATTCGAACACATCCGAAAACAAACAATGCAATTTACGTTAAATATCAATTTACCGTCAATATTCCATCTTTTCTCAAAAATCATATTCCAACTCAAACACAAATTATTTATAAATGTTATCGTTGTCTTCCACTTTAATTAATTTTATTAATTAATAAATTCGACAATTATAAATCACGTGTCACGTACATCCATCATTATCTCGCTAGCCTAAATTCTTCTTGCTCAAAAGACAATATTCACTGGACGTTCGGCGATGAGAGGGACCGCCAAATACTTTCAGGCAAAAACATTATATATTTAAATACACTCACGCTAACATTATCACTGTCGTGAATGTTCTTTTTATTTTCGGCGGATGTCTCTTGCGAATTTTTTTCATGTTGTCTGCTTGATCGTGCACTGATAAAATTATTCGGAATATCTCGAAGAATGACAGTAGCTGATCCGCTCATCTGAATTAACGAGGTATCGAGCGAACTATGTAAGATGTATTGAGATTTAGATAATTACGAAGTACCCGCTTCTGCATCAGTCGTTCGTGGCCCGCCAGGTTCCCACGAAAATGGAGTTGGGCGCCATTATGATTCGAGGAAAGACACCACAGCACCCTGCCTTGCTCAGGGTGAGCCTCGGCTAAAATCGCCCGTTTTTAATCGCTCACGATTGCACAGCTCCGCCACTTCTCGATGATTCTTCTCGTTCGTTCGCCGACTTTCATCAAATCCATAGCCAAGTCAGCCTCAGTTGACGATATCCACTTTGCTCGATGCTTGGACTAGCAAAATAACTTAACGATCTCCTCAAGCTTTCTTAGACACATTCGGATCGAGCTGGCATGTACGCACGGACACCCTCTTTTGCTTGAGTCATTCTATTCTGCACGCATTCACGCATTGGTGTTGCTGTAATCTAGCGATAAGCGACGTGATCGTGCTCGCAATCGGAGCTCTTTATCGTGATGAGAAGCCAACCCTCGAAGAATCCTTCTCTTCACGTTTTATATAAATTGTATAGCTTTTGCTCTTTTCATCGAACTATATTACAATTTTTAGCGATGAAATTTAGCCCCGTCTTACGGAACTGACGACGACTACCACGGCGCTCCCAGTTCGATTACGTGCCGGGCACACAGAGGGGTGTAAGTAATGCGCGCGCACCCCCACGCCCGCTAACGAAAAGACCCCTTCCGCCCTCTGAGCGCATAGAGAACCATCACCCACCAACGACGACGATACGAGGGTGTCAAATCAGACTCTGGAAAACGTGGCGGACAGAATAGCCGCGTGTCCACCTTCAGGGTAGCAAAGTGTGGGATACGCGAGGGTAGCGTTGCTGCCACCGTCGATACAAAGACAATTGCCGCTGGTTCGTGTCCGAGCTTCGTGCTTGAGTAGATTCCTCGTCATGTGAGGGTGTTCATGGCTTGTTTTTTTTTCTGCCGTTAATTTTATCTTATTTAGAAGTATATATAGTCCCTTATTTTTACCCTCTCCTATTAAAAGATGATTGTATTTCGAGCAACCTCTTAAAATTGTTGTATTCAATGAGTAATGTGTATAGCATATATACTATAATTTTGAAGTTATGTATTTTTCTTTCGTGTAAAATTACCTCAAAGAGGACAAAATATTTTTATTGTAGTATAAATATTTTATATGTATACATACATCCGTTCAATCATACAAATACACACTATACATAAATATATATATATAAGGCAAAATTATCCTCAAAGTTAGAGAATTAAAGTGATGTTCGATGATTTTAGAGTCACATTCTGTATATGTATATGTATTATATATATATATATATATATATATATATATATATATATAATTGATAAAAAATATGTTTGTACATTTTATCTTGAAATAGTTTTACAAAAAAGAGCAAAATAATACTAAAATATAAAATATTTTTACTAGAAATATGCTAGCAATATATATTATTATCATTTATATTAATACAACGTACATATTTATACATTCTATTTTTCTTGAAATAATTTATTCTTTTAAAGTAAAATGTATCTATTTTTTTTACAAAAAATCACATAATTATTATTATTTTATAAAAGTTTTTTGTTTCATATCTCGTTTCACATGTAATTCTCTCTTTTCTTTGCCTCCCCTCTTTCTCCTTCCTCTTCTCTCTCGTATTTCTTTTACATTAAGTTATATTCTTTTATTTTATATTATATTATCATTACATATATTTTCCATATTTTCTTAGTTGTCCAAGAAGAATTTATTCAAGAATATAATAAAGTATCAAAGCTTCATAGTATCAAAGTCTCTACGTAATTAACAATGTCTAATCTTTTTCCCAATCATATTTATTGCATTGTTTTATTGACAATTGCAGCGCATTCAATTGAATCTAATAAAATGAAGATGAAATTGCGTCAAACATTTTACGACTTTTCACTTGTCAGTTAGAATGAATATTAATATCTTGCGGCGGTGTTAGAACTACTTGCCATTTTATAAAGAGACGAGCTGTTTTCGTCTCGAATGATGAAATGTGATTTTCTCTTGCTGGCAGAAATCCACTATCATTAATATAATTCACGCGACTGTCAGCACTTTAATTGGCTGCTAGAGAAGCAAAGAATTAAACGCGGATCTAAACTATTTTTTGTCACTGTTATCATAATAAAAGAAATATATTACCGTTTAAATCAAATAATAATAATTACATTATTTAATAATTACATTATTTAATAATTACATTATTTAATGTAATATAAAAGATATATTACATTTTTAAAAAGATAAATATAAGATACTATTTACTTTACATTATATGAATGATGTATTATTCAGATTTAGTCTACAAAGATTTAAACAGTATCGTATAATATTATAAGCTCGAAGTTATAAAATATTTACATTTATTTAACATAATATACATATTAAAAGTATTTGAGATTAAATATATGAATAGAAAGTAACATTATTTTATAATTAGATCAAAAGTTGGCGTTGAAGTTTTCGATGTTGGACATATATTACTGGTAGTAGAATCAGACAGAATAAGCCAGACAGCACGGCCGTTACTATATATAATATATGTTGATTGAATATAATGAAATAGATTTGATTCACTTAATTATTAAACGAAAAAGTTCTATGCTATAATTTTCTTTCAAATTCACTTTATAATGACAAGTAATTATATATATAATAAATGATTCGTATTATACAAAGTGTCTCGTTTTAATGAAAATAGTTGTATATTTGTTAAACTTAGATCTCAATTCATCGTTTAATATAAAAGAAAGTATTTTATATATTTATATTTATAACATTTATATATAACATGTAATAATTCTTTTAATATTTATACTAGATTTTTAAGAAATATTTATATTGCAATAAAGTATTCATCGCAGCATGAACTTAAGAAAACAATTATTTAAATTGCCTTGAATAAGAAGAAATAATTCCACTTTAAATATACACAAGAATTATTCTAAAGTAACAAAAAAAGATTTTCATCGTATGACGTATCTCTTAAACATAGTAGTTAATTCTTTCTGAACGAAAAAAAGAGAGGAAAAAAGAAGCCTTTAACGGAGACACTTTCCTCACATGTATAAATATGCAGGAGAAATTATCTGCGGTATAGAGAACTACCATGGAGGAAGACCTGTAAGCGTTAAAGTGCAATATACATGGTGATTCACATATATAATGTTTGGTTCATATATAATGATTGGTAACTTTCGAAATAAAATGGATTGTGCTCTAGTTTAACAGATTATAAAGATAGTGTTGTTCCATCGTGTTTTCTAGTAAAATTATCTTAATCTTTTTAACTCTTGTCTCACGCATTCCTTTTACACATTTTCTCTAAGTTTCTATAAAACATTTATTTATTTATTTAAAATATTTTATTCTCTAGCTTCTGAAAATATCAGAATTATTTTACCTTGTTCTGAAACAGAATTATATCATTTATTTTTTTCTCGTGTATATTTTCTTTTTCTTTTAATCATAACATATTAATACGTTATATTACGAATTAATATGTAATTATATACATGTTAATATTTTTAATCAACTATCCGATGACAAGAAAAAATGTTTATTACTGTTTATAATTATTTTTGTTATTTATTTCTTCTTCTGTTTAAACTCACGCTGATTGAAAAAGCTGATGTTATTAAATATTTAAATAAACAATTTGGCATTGGCAAGAATATTAATATGTAAATATATGTATAGAATATATTTATCTGAATAGCGTAATAATAAGAGCAATCGCCCGAAAAATCGGATTGGAAGATCGGATTTGATTCTTGGTCTGACAATAATTTAATCACTTGCGCTTTAATATTTTTCTCGTTTAAATTATTAAATTTCTGGAAAGATTATTTAGAAATATTTAGAAAAAATTTTAAATTAAAACTTTCGATATTTTATGAAGTCCAGATATTGAACTAGAAATGTTAAAAATCAACGAAAAATAGTTTCTGATTTATTTTTTTTATATTATTACATACTGCATCGTGTTAGATTCTTATTAATTTTTCATCATAAAGTAATTGTAGATGCAAGAGAATTCATTTTTGTTTATCTTTTATTTCATGCTGATATACTAGAGCAAAATTAAAATTTGTAAATTTAATGAATTATTATTTCAAATTTATATGATAAATTATTATTTTAAATTTTATATTTAGCACTTGTGTGTGTGTGAAATTAATAAAGAATATATAAAAAATAAAATTAAATGGATCACCCCGTACATCGACCTGAACGAGTGAGAGAGAAAGTTAGTATAATAAAGAGATTTCACTGTAGGTGAATGAGAAGAAGAGAGAAACAACAGTCGATGGCATGGAGAAGAAGGGATGCTTAGGATCGATAAATATATATATAGAGAAGGAACATAGGAAACGTCTGACACCGGGAAACTCCTGGGGATGACTACTAACAAGGTGATTCAACTCAAGAGAACAAGCCGTGTTTCAATCTCGATCGGCTAATTCGACTATGTGGTGTTATATCAAAATAAATGTTATCACTGGTCACGATGTTAACTGCGATACGTCAAAATTGTCATACGAATAAATCTATAATTAAATTAGTATAAGTATAATATTACAATATATTACAATACGTTATTTATATTAAAATATTACAATACGTTATTTATATTAAAATGCAAAAAGAACTAAATATAACCTGTAAATTTCGCATTTATTGAACATTTTTTTAATATATCAAATAAAAATTAAATCGTTTCTTTTCCTGAAACAGAGTAGTTAAATGAATAATAAATACATAACTTCACATGTAATATATCATATACAAATTATTATATATGAAAAATCAATTAGATACATATAAAATTCCGATCTTTTCTAGAAGAAAAATATTTTAATTAAACTTATATGTATATATTGCTTTAATTATTAAATACTGCACATTAGTTTTTCAACAATCACGTAAACATGATGTTCTTTGGTACACTTTTTGAAAAGGTAATTTTTTTAAGCAGAATCCTGTAGCCCACGTTGCCAATTGAATGCTAGAATCTTCTGATTAATTATTCATGCATGATTATCAGGGTCTACTCTTATGCTATGTTAAATATAGAGGTTAACAGACTCTTCTTAATTTTTTTTATATTTAACTCTCAAATCAACTCACTTTCGTCGAGAATTGCATTTATAAAATGATTCTAACTCATTTATCTCTTTGAAGATATTGAGATTTTTTTGTATCATATACCAAATAATTATTGATGAGGAGAGGAACAGAAGAAGAAATCTAATTCTGTTAATAGACTTTTGATGTTCATTTTCAAAAATACTTCCAATTTTTTCGTTTCAACTTTAGTTTAAAAAAATAAAGTCTACGAGTAAAACTGTCGTCACGTGAATAGAAAGCCCGAAAGTTATATATACCATCGTTTCACCTCTAAACTGGATCCTTTCACTTTTTAACCCAATTTCCATTGTTAGACCAAGTCTGTATTTCTGCCACGTCTGTTGATTACCGAATTACCTGCAATTAATACTACATCGTTAGTATTCTTTTAATTATTCTATTTTTTCTAAAGTTAAATAAATAATAAGTAATTGGTTTAATCAATTCTATCTTTAAAAAAATTGTATTGGATTATGAATAAAAAGATGAACAAACAAAATTTAATTTGCTATAAATTTTCCTCTCTTTTATTTTCCATGTATGTATATACGTTGGCATAGAAATGAATGACATATATAAAGAATGATTAACACAAATCCTTGACGCTCCCTGGTTATTGCTTACGAACATCTTGCTTTTGCCGCAGTTTACTTTCGAACGAAATAAAGAGCCGTGTAGGCGTATTATGACGAATAACTGTTCAAAATAGTTTTTACTCATTATTTAAGAGGAAGAAATCATACGAATTAAATCGCGCAAAATATCCTTGGAAAATTATAAACTTTTCTCTGTGTAATACATGATTGTATGAAAGCAAACATTTGCAATTTGAATACAATAAATATAATAAATATAAAAACTTGAAATATAATAAAAATAAAAACTTGAAGTAATTTTCTGACAAAAAAGAGAAAAAATAAATTTTTATCAATTTATAAAGCTCGATTCAGATCAGCGAATAATGCAATAGCTGATGAAAGTTAAATTTTCATATGTTTCTCTTATGAAAAAAATGTAAATAATAAGTATTTGTATGATGCTTTTTCTCAATTTTCCTTCTCTTCGTCATCACTTTCCATCACGTGCGTGCTACAATATGTTAACTTATGTGGCAGATTTATCACAATCGCACAACCGCGATCTCCCACGGATTGCGCCAATTCCCTTATTTCCAAGTTTTCCCCACTCATGTTTTCATCTGCTTGGATCCATGGAGAACGTGCGCCAAGCATAGTATCGTATCAAGTACCACTGTGGAGGTGTTCCTCGCGATCAGATCCGCGAATCTTTTTCAAGGAATTTTCTAGAATTCGACAATTAATTGTGAATAAAAATGAGGACTCTCTGGACCATCGTTCTTCTTTGTCTTGTCGTCACGATCGTTGAGGTATATGCCAAGCCCATGATTTACAAGAAGAACGAGGACAATGTCTTCGAGCCAGGTGAGCGAACAATTTGCTATCTGTTTGCATGCACAAGAGAAACTAAATTAAAATATAGAAAATTTAATTAAATTAAAATATAAAACATATCTAAATATTTCACAAAAACTAATTTAAGTATTTATTTTTGCCACTGTCACTTTCGCTGTTAGAATGTCCTTTGAATATTTTCTGTGAAATCTGAACTTTCGTTAACACGCGAAGGATAATAATGTCGCATGTCGCGATATACGTGCAAGTCGCGTGTTTTCCAATACACATCACCTACGCACACACACGTCACTATAGTTTGAAAACAAAAATGGATCCATTATCAGCGCTGCAATAAAAATTGTATACAGACAGAAGTTATATACTACGACAGTTTTCCGAAAGTTTTGACGGCGATTCTAAAATCTATTTTTATTCAACAGATAAAAAAGGATCCTTTCAGCTTGCATAATTCGTGTAGAAAATGCATTCTTTTTCCAAAATCGATTAATTAGAACGTAATCAAAAGAATAATCTTTTATTTCGCACATAACACAAAAAAATAAAATAAACGATTAAAAAATATTATTTTAATAATATGAGAAAAATTTGTTCAAATATAAAAATTTATATTTTTTAAGTAAAGAATCTTACGAAATCATGTAAGTAATATTACACATCTACACGAAGAAGTGAATATGAAAAGAACTTTCACCGTAATTATCGTGATGCTAATTGATACAATGCACTCTTCCATGCTACTCTCACATCTCTCATACATTTATTATTTTATATATCTTGACAAAAAATATATATTAATCAAAAAAGAAGACGCCGTTAAAATGTTATTAACAATACTAACTTAACTATATAACAATACTAACTTAACTATATAAACAACGATTTATTAAGATCTTCGACGTAAGTCGATATTTGATAGGTATGAATAAAGGACTCTTTAAATGCGATCTATTATTCGCGATAAAATTCAAGATAAAATGTAATTATAAATTCGTGTCCTGTAATGCAAAAAATATTTGAACATGTTAAATGCAAATAGAAATATATATTAGAATTAGAATATACGTACAAGTTAAAATATATGACGCATAAAATTATAAATAGAATTCTATCTTGGATTTTACGAATTATAAATCGTCTAAAAAGGTCTTAACGGAATGGTGACATCAGAATAACGTGTAGGTTTTATAACGTAAGATCTATATATTGTGCTTTACAAGATTAGAAGATCCGTATATTGTATGTTATCGCTGCAGAATATCATTACTATACATATATATAAAATAATAAATTTACAATGAAAAAATTACTTTTTTAATCAATAATAAAACAGAAAATATCAAAATCCTATCTTTAAAAATTCTATGCGGTCATACTTGTGTTTTCTGCTAAAAGGTATTGTGGTATTGCGACGATATATATATATATATATATATATATATATATATATATATATATATGTATACACGAGAATTATTGTACACGAAAAATATTGTGATAAATGATCTGCTTAAAAAAGTCTTGTTTTTTTTTATAAAATTATTTTTTTAAATTATAGATATGATTTCAAAATATGTCGCAATATTTCTTTGTATAAATGACGTGGATAACTGCAAGAAACTTTTTTAAAGATATATATGTATGAAATTTTGATGTTTTCTAGTTGTTTTGTGTAATTTCGTAATAAAATTGTTTTCTTACAAAAATTTAATATTTTATATACAGATGTGTATAAAATGTATATTACTTTATTTCCTGCTAATTTTACTAATAAATTTCAAATTTTCGCTCCAAGAATGCTTTAGAATCTCAGCTATGTCAATATTTTCAATATAATTGCCATAGTTTGTTGGCAATAAATGCGATCGAGTTAGAAAAGAATTGCTAAATATGGAAAACACCCACACGCGGGTACATAAAATATGTCAATAGCATTATGTATTATTTTCGATTTGTTAGTATAACGATAGAAAAAAAGAGAGAAATTATAATGACACATAAATATAGTAATTTTTTTATATAACTAAATTAATATTTAAATTTAATTAATTTTACATAATTATGAGAGAAAAGAGAAATGATGCGTTTTTTGTGGAAAAAAAGCAAAGTGTCATAATTCAAGCAAACGAATCGTAACGATTCATAAAGATTTTCTATGCTAAAATTGATAGTATATTTGAATCTTCGCCATCTTCATATTTTAATATAAAAGTGTAATTATTACATAATGCATAATGGTATCGTTATGATATATATATATATATATATATATATATATATATATATATTTATATATATATATAAGAGTGATCTATGTCAGCATTTACATCAGACGCAAATGCCAGCGAAGATATATGAAATGCATGATCAGCTATGTCACTCCTTTGCATACCAGTACGGTAATTAAATTCAATAGATATCGACTTGATATTCAATATACAGGGCGTCAATTAATTCGCGATAACTGAGTACATAGCTATGTATGTTTGATGATAAAATTGAAAAATTTCAAGCATGTTTTTATGATGTTTAACGAAATAGAATTTATTTTAAATAGCACATACAGTACAGAACATTGCAGCAATATTATCGTAATTTTGCTGCAATATTCTGTGTAGGAAGTTTCAATCAATCAGCGCTTTTTTTTAAACGGACATATGTTCATAAATCCACACGCCGAAAAGTATGCAGCCACGTATGTTAGCAACTGCGATTTGTGAAACATGTTCATTTAATGAAAGGCATCATACGTGTGTGTATGCAAGTGAGAGAAAAAAATATCCATATTATATATATATATATATATATATATATATATATATATATATATATATTAGTAAACTTAGCCTTTTTAAATATAAAATTAATAATTAATTTATAAGTTATAGTATGATACTATTTGTTGACATATACATGATGATATATAAATACATGTGATTATGTATCCTAAATATGCAAAATATATATATGCAAAATATCTATGAATACGAGTATATAATCATATTACATTATTGATAGTTTCGTACAAAAAGATCTATTTATTTTCATATAAAACGCGTACATACTTTTGAATTCATTTTTTAATAAAAATAAGTAAGACAAATATTTACCCAGTAGAATTAAAATTTTTATTTTCATAAATTTTGATGTCGTAGAATCGACGATACAATCATTAAAAAGGCTATTCAATATATTTGCAATTTTGAAATTAAATTATATATTTCTGTATTTATATTATTATATTTATTCTTTTAATAAAGATTTATTCTTTCAATAAATTTGAACAATTTTATTAAGATACATATTCACGAATTATTATTAGAAAATGTTGAAATAATAAACATTTAGTTGAATAAGAAATGTATTTTTTAATCTAAACATGCAGAGTTTATTTTTGTTTTACTTCGTCAAACAATTTGTGTGTGTTTGATGCAAAATTTATATAAAATTTTCTTTTAAATTATATTGCATAAAATGTATAATTCACGAATTTAAGAAATTCGTTTTTATTTAGAATTTATCATAAATTCATAGTATATAATTAATGACTTGGCCAGTTGCAAAAATTTCATATGTTTATGTAATTATTTTTTTAATAGTACCAACTAATTTTTTGTTTGTAATCTATGCAGATTTATATACTTTCTTATGTATTTTTCAGTGCAATCTTTTTTAAAGGGAATAATGTTATCCTTCAATGCTTGAATTAGTTTTTATAAATCCTACTATGCTCGCTATTGCGAGATTCCAATATAATATTTTTTTACATTATTATAATTAATAATTATAAGTATAATTATATTTTTTTTCTAGTAATGATACCCGTATCATCTACGGTAATTCCACTACCTGTGTACAAGGTAGGGTATGGCTTAGGTTTCATATCAAAAGATAAGAAGACTCAATTATCGTTCAAACCGGAAGATAATATAAAGTTGATAACTAGTAAGTATTAACTTGTAAGACTACAAAATCTTATTTCCGTGATGAAATTTTTTCCGCCATTTATTTTTGTATTACAACGCGACCAGGAAGTTGAATTATAATCCAAATAGCATAACATATTGATGTAAAATGACGCTATTTTTATCTCATATAATGTTATTTTTATGTCAATTGATGACGTGCGATCACTCGGAGTTTTCTCTATTTATAAAAAGTTCAAAATTCTACACGTATTTTATTAGGATATTTTGAATTTAAGATGATCCTTACATTTTATAATATGCTGTTTGGAAAAATATTTAATTCACATATATTCAGATTTATGTAAAAAACACAGGCGAATGCACACAAAATTCATATATATATCATCATTTATATATTGTATAATATTTGCGGTGATTAATGTTAATTTCTTTTTTTCTAGTCAAAAAAACTCAGGAGAAAAAGACATAAATATAGTACTAAATTGCATTTTATGTCAAATGTAAGCAGAAACGAATGTTGCATTCGAAATCAGTTAAATATTTTATTAGCTACATAAAACCACATAGGAGATTTTCATGTGGTAAGACTCGTACTATTTTTATCCAATTCATGATTTATAAACTTATTCAGCAACAAAGCAAGTATTTTATTTTCATTATATTGTATCTAATACAGTTAAGAGGAAAACTTCACACCAAAAATATAATATACCTCCTTTATTAAATTATCCTCCTAAAAATTATAATTATTAATAACCTTTTTAATTAATTATTAATAACTTTTTAATATCAAAAAGGTATTCACTAAGATTTTAAATCAAAACTAATAAGTGGAATTATATACCTAAGTATGTGAAAATGTTTATACATTACCTTACTAATTGTAAACTGTAAAATGTATTATTAAATGTAAATTTATTTATTAAGAGAGATAGAGAAAATAATGCAGAACATTTATTTTTGATAAATTTGTTGTTAATATATAATTAATATATTTATTATAATTATATAATTATATAATAATATAATTATAATAATATGTTTATTATAATATAATTATTGTATAAGATTAATATTTATACTAATAAGTATTATAGTAATAGCATTAAGAAGTCACAAGTTTCAGTTATTTTTACAATTAAGTAAAAAGAATCTTGTTATAATTAATTTTTGTTAATATTAAATTATAAATGTCCATGGATATTGCAAAATATAGAACTTAATAAAAAGATTCGACTTATATTTTTATATTTTTTTAATGTATTTATAGAGAAACATCCATATTTTCCCCAGGTGAAATGGCTGAAATAATTAAACAAATTGTAGATATGTATGACATGTATGATAAATTATAAATGTCATACATATTAATAATTAAACAAATTATAGATATATATAACATATATAAATTATACACAATAATTGTTTACTTACAGAATTCATTGAACATAAAATCATCTTGATATTCTTTGAGAAATTGCGTAGATCTATTTTCATCAAGAAATAAAGAATAGACACGTTTGACATCTTCAATACTAACCTGAGTATAAATTAAAGATTAGAATATCATTAAAACATGATATGATAAATTGTATCACACATACTACTTACTTCTGTTGTCTTTCTTCGACGACTAACAAGAGAAGCTGTTGTAATTAACTGTATCGCATATCTTAATGATGTTTCCAAAGCGATCCTCGTTAATACTGTTAAAGCATCATCAGCCATTTCGCAATCTTCTTCCTCGCATCTTATTTTTAAGATTTCCTTCAGTTCTTTCTCTTGATATGGACTCGTTGGAACAATAATCATGCGATCCAATAAATCAATCGGAATACCATGAGGACTCTTATAATTTGTTCCCCTGATTCTTGTAATACCTATGCAATTATGGAATATTAAATGTTATGATGAATAAATTATAGAAGATATAATTCCTTAGTAATATAGTTATGGTTATTTCTATTATTTTTATACCTCTGTTTGTTGCCATGATCACAACTGGAGCCATTTCGTTCTCCAATGCTCGATTCAGAAACGAAAAACATTCGATATCCAACATATGCACTTCATCGATAAAAAGTACACCTGGCACAATTTCCGCCTTGCCTTCCTCCCGCCATTCGGCAACTTTAGCATTTATTTGATCTCTTACTTCTGATTTAATTTCTCCGGTATCTCCAGAGAATAGCGCTAAGAATCCATGAGTTCTACTATTTATTACATCAATTTCGTGTAAAGTCACTGTGTGGACAACTTCCTTGCGCTTCTGCAATTCACCTTCGGGACATTGTACAAAACGCGTTTGTGAACCAGTTGCGTCATAATCTCTAGCTCTAGTAAAGGAACGTCCAAGTCTATTGATTTTTCCTGTTGCTTTATCGATTGTTATAACATCGCCAGCTTGTACCTGAAAAACAATAAAATCATAAAAATTAATTATTTAATATATATATATATAATATAAAAATTACTTAATATATGAATGTACAAACTTTTTCTTTCATTAAACAATCGATCATTTTATTTCCTAAATCATAAATTGTTTCCATCTCGGTCGTTTTTAATGTTAATTTGCCAACTTTTACTCCAACTCCAGTTGCTGGCCTATCAACTTGGATCTCCACAACTTCACCTTCTATAATTTCCGTTTCCTCTTTGATTCTGACTCCAATAGATTTTCTAATAGCCTGAGTTAAGGCTTCTGTTTTACTCATTTCTAAAGAATAAATTTCAGAACCAGCCATTGATGTAAAAGGGGTATCTATGCCTAGGTTTTGGGCCATTCCCATAGCAATAGCTGTTTTTCCTGTGCCGGGTTGTCCAGCTAACAAAATCGCACGACCAGCTATCTTGCCATCTTTTATCATCTCCAAAATAACACCAGCACCTCGGCGTGCCATAAGCTGGCCAACCATACCTTGAGATACCTAATATATAATTAAAGTATATAATTAAAAATTACCAAAATTTTAGATTATTTTATTTGCAATTAATAAAAAGTGCTCTTGCACAATATAAATAATTACATTGCGAGGCTCTAAACTATCATTCAGTCCTAAGCCTCTAATGTGAGAATGAGCACCGATACGCTCTATTTTAGTAATTTCGCGAACGTCTTGGACATTAGTAATAACCTGAAATAAAAAACAACAATTGCATATATCGAAAATTTTAAAATCTGCATATTATAGTATAAATGCATAATTGCGACGAAATTGATCAAATAATTGGTTTCTATGCCAACCGACATAAGATAATATCAATATTTAAGCTTCTACACAAAATTAATTAAAACGAAATATATAAGTACACTAATATTTTATATAAAATATGATGCGAATAAAATGTATTTAAAATATGATAAAAATACGAAAAAAAATATAGGTTATAATCGACGCCGACGCAAATAAGAGTAAATTATATTTACTGCACTAAAGTTCACGTCAAATTATGAAAATAAGATTTACCTCTAATTTATTCAGATATTTAGCTATAACTTATTAATATAAAATTTGTAATAAATTTATTTAAATGAGAAAACTTACCGCCATGCTTGCAACAATAATACATGTGTTTGCTATGCACAAAGAAACGCAATTTCCATAGCTGCGTTGTTAGTTATTTAGACGGACTGCCTTTTCTCTTCTCGCACATGCGCTTCGACGATTGTGACGTCACTGAAATAGTTGTGGAATTTTATGAAATGAGATCCCGATTTCGAAAATTATCTCGAAATTTTTGGAAAAAAACATGAGATAAAAAATAATACGCATAAATTATATTAATTAATTCATTTGTTTACGCACAATCATTTAATCTGTCTCCAAAATTGTCGCCGAAATTGAAGCATCGAATTGCCCATCGCATGTACATCGACATACGTGACTGACGTCACCAGTCGCGCATGCGCAAGAAAGGAAGCTCGTCTAACCCAAATGTCAGATTGCAGATCTTACCTCGATCGGTCAATCGAACGCTATTCTTGGCCGTTCCACTCGAAAAAGTGAATTTTGGAACACGCAATCCGGTTGATCCGCGTTCCTAAAGCCACCATAAAATATAGGGATATAACGCGAATCTTTCATCAGGGTGATATGGGAGTAAACTGAGGAACACTGCATGCAATTTTGTTGGGCATGCCATTTCGTGTGATTTCATGTAATTGCGTACAACTGCTTGTGTATCAAATTTGCGGGACATTCGCGAAGAAGTTTACGCGCCTCGTGCGCGAATTCAAGTGAATTTTATACGGGTAAGTGAAAAGTTTTAAGCACGCTCGAAAATAACGGCCGAATTTAGTCGAGTACGTTCTGCCGAAGTGGTTCTCTCTAACAATAGAAGGCACGCACTGAGGTAACGAGTTTATAACCAAAGTGAGAGCTAAATGCGTATTACGCGTTCTTATCTTTGTAGCCGTTGATAAAGACATTAGATCTGGAGATACAGAAACTGAATCTTTATTCGAATTATTATTTACTTTTTTTTTATAGCGATTTTATAAGCAACATTGTTATGGTAGATAACGATATCTATAACCACATCTATTACATGATTATGGTATATTGCGATAATACTTGAAGAGAAACGAAGATTAATTGCATCATATTGTTTTTATTGATATGAATTATTTTGTATTTTATGAGTCATAGGATGTTGACTTTTTTTTAATTGTAAAATTTCTGTCTAAACGTTAATAAAATAATATGTAATTGTTTCATGCTGCAATAATGTTTCAGAATAGATATAAATATTGTATTTATATCTATTAAAATTTAGTCTATGTAGTATATAATTACTACATTTAATGCAAAATTAAAAAAAAATTATATACATTATATGAATTTTCATAATATATACCATCAAACATTCTGAATTTTCATTTACGCCAGTGAAATTATAATAATAAAATTCATTATATTATGCATATTCATTTGATTTGTAACACTTTTCTATTACTATTATTATAAGTTATAATATTACAAATGTTAATAATATATTCTAATATAACAATTATATATTTATGTATCGTAATACATCATTGTACATATTCTTTCAAAATGTTTTTTCTTAAAAATATTTTAAAAATTGGGAAAAATATGATAAGGATATATTTCTTTCATATATATTTTTAAGAATGCCAATTAAATTCTTAATATATCGTGAAATATATTAACAGTTTAATTATATATTGAAAGAATATATATTATTAAATTATAATTTTTATAATAAATAGAATCAATATAAATATTATAATGTACTACTATTATAATGTATAAGAACTATTTTATATAGAATTAATTTTTATTTTTATTTCAGATTGTTTAAGCAAGACGTTGTCAATCTGACTGCAGATATGTTTGGGCAACCTGGAAATACATCGTTTAGTATGTATATTTGATATATAGATAGATATCAAATTGTAAGAGATTTCACGAAAGAAGATATTATATGTATTTTTTTTTAAAGGTGGATTTAGTACAGCAACACAAAACAGCCCGTTTGCTCAGTCTGCATTTGGTAAACCCATTACTACAACAAGTTTTGGTAGTGGCGCAACACCTGTTTTTGGTAGTACCAATACTTCACCACTCTTTAGTTCTAAGCCCACAGGTTCTACCACAGGTGGCTTGTTTGGCAATACCACAACGCCACCATTTAGACAACCAACTAATACCCAACCATCTTTTGGAGGTAGAAATTTATGAACTGTTTCATTTGC